TGATGATGATGATGATGATGATGATGATGATGATGATGATGATGATGATGATGATGATGATGATGATGATGATGATGATGATATTATCATATTGCCCAAAAAGCCCAAAAATCCCTTACTTCGCAATTCATTTGGGTTCCTTTTGTCTCAGTTGATTTCTCTCCGAAATAAAGAAAGCATTTAAATGTACACCATTTACAGTCATTTTCCCAAGTAAACCTCAAGCGTTCCTGCTGAGTCAGCCTGATCGTCGCATTTTCTATTGGGTTCATACCTGAAACACAAGAAAAGTGGAGCTATATTCCAAATATACTCATTATATTGACATTTGCTAGATTTATTAACCTAACCCTTGCCCTCATCCGAACCTTAAACCTAACTTTAACCTTGAATCTAAACTTAACCTTCAACATTAACCCTAACACTTACCCGAACTTTAATCCTAAAACTAACCCTTACCCTAACCTGAATCCTGAAAATATCCTAGTCTGCAGTGACCCTTAACCCTAACCCTGAGAGTAATCATTAGCATTAATCCTCATTTCTAACCCTAACGTAAACCCTAACCCTAAGCCTAACCCTAACCCTTACCGTAACCCTGACCCCAATCCTAAACGCTAATGTGAATAATACGTGCAGAAAACAATTTATAACTTCTCCAATTTTTCGTAGATCTGCACCAAATGTTAGAAGAATTATGTTTGATCATCCGGACGCCATCCTCTGTCCTCAGATTTGAGCAAGTCAGATGAGCACCGCTACGTCAGCCATGTCTTTCAGTGGCCCAGAAAAGGCTTTTATCTTTAGAAAAATATACACTAAATTCAAGTCCGCAGAGAAGCTTCAAAGCCTGTTATTGCGGGAAGTAGGAGTTGATTCTAGATCTAGATCCACTGAACCTTCTGAGAAAGCAATTATAGGGTGTAAGAGCATTAAAGCGGTGTGATGTACGTCAGTATGCCGTTAAGGAAGGGGGTAAGCATTGACAAACATTGAGAAATGAGGAAACTGAAGAAGTTCGCGCGTCGGTCAAGACTAGTCTGTTCTATGCCGTAGTGGTGAACTAGGCATGTCAAATTCTTGTAAATATAAGTTGAAAATGAAGTCACATCATTATTTGTTTACCAGGAAATAGCCCAGGTCAGTGCTGGGGAGACAAAAACAATGAGTATGCGGTTGTGTAAGACAAATGGGAGAGAGTGAAATTTTTTCTATGATCTGTTTTCTTTATCAATGAAGGTCATTTCTTTGTGACTGGAAAGTTGATTTTCGGAATTATTTACACTAGGTAATAGGAACATCAGATAATATGAATAAGAGACACTTGTGCGATAACAAAGCAACCAGCGTGAATAACTTAAAGCTAATATGTCATATGGCTTTTTGCATCTGCTGTGATGAAGGCGGAACCCCACAAACTGTAACTAACATATATATA